TGTGTGTGTGTGTGTGTGTGTGTGTGTGTGTGTGTGTGTGTGTGTGTGTGTGTGTGTGTGTGTGTGTGTGTATTAACATTTAATATGTTTAAATAAATCTACAGGAGATGGGACCTTCTCCTTTAATCTGTTATATTTTATGCTGAATTGAATGTAGTATATCTTGGATTTTTCAGTATGAAGGGAAGCCAGACAAACAAAAAACATTGCTTTAGCTTGAACAAATTTGACAAAAAGTTTCTCTTGAACTTTTACAACATGCCAGAAAACATGCCAGAAAACCCACCAAACACTCTATAGCTAGCACATTTTTCTTTTAACATACCAGAAACAAAAAATCATTCTCATGGGAGAATGTGTTAAAAGACATGCACATACTCCAAATAGCAATTTACAGCCAAATTGAGCTAATGAAAATAACACATGCTAAACAAAAGGGAGTCAAAAACAGAGACACAAGCAAAGATTTAAAACCTCACATGGACAATTTGAAGATTCATTGTGAGCTTTTAAACAATCCAGAGAGCAAAAAAGGATTTTTAATTGATGGATTTGAAAATAACAGAACCAAGAATGTATTTAACTTTGTGGGTTTTCCTATTTAAAGTCCAGTTTAAATCCACTGAAGTTAATAGACTGAATTTCACTGAATTATATGGCTCAGGCCCTCGAGTGGATTAACTGAGTGGGTCAGGTCCTTGGAACGTATGAAGCACAGCAGTTGTCTCGGGGATTATAATCATCTGTTTCAGTCTAGTCTATGTTGTTTTCAAGTGACTGACCTGTGAAGCCTACGGACACATGAATATGTGTGTGTGTGTGTGTACAGACACACACACACATATATACATATATGTGTGTGTATTTATGTGTGTGTGTGCATATGTGTGTGAATGTATGCATGTATATACACATATGTGTGTGTATGTGTTGTATATGTGTGTGTGTATAATATATATATATATATATATATATATGCTTTACAGGTCAGTTATTTATAATATGTATATGTGTGTGTGTATGTATACACACATATATAAATTTATATAGGGTATTTAAAATGATCTAGGTTCTTTAAAGAAACATCACATCTCCACTCAATGTATCTGAGTGACCACTGGATTTAAGATGGAAAGAATCATTAACAGATTCTGTGATGCCTCCAGACAAGCCAAACAAATTCATTTCAGGGCTGCT